CCAAAAAAAGGCAGAAAAGCAGGGAAGGCCCCCCTAAAATTTTTTTTTTTTTTTTTTTTTTTTTTTTTTTTTTTTTTTTTTTTTTTTTTTTTTGTTTTGTTTTGTTTACATTTCACAACCAAACATCCTCAACTATATTTTTTTTCTTTTTTGTATAGCAACTTTTTAAACAAATATTGTAAAGTTCTCTGCATTAAAACATTTATTAAAACATTAGAAATGACACAAACACAAAAATTGACACAAACACAAAAATTATACCAAATCATTTAAAATACACAACATTGTAAGACAAATTGAAATAGTAAAAATACAAAAGAAATTAAAANATTATTAGCCTTATTTTTAAAGTAAGTTTTAACTAATGATTTAAAAAGAGGCAGTCAAGAGCCCGGTCTAATATTCAGAGGAAGAGCATTCACTAGTTTTAGTAATGTTCTCAAAATGTTGACCTTGGGTCCAAATGCCCTTAACTCAGATTTATCATTATTGAGTAACAGATAATTATCAGACATCTGGGTTTTGATGTCTGAAAGACGTAGGGTAAGTTTAAAAGTAAGGAGCTCTGATGGGTTGACAGCCAAATAAATCTGGGAATCATCTGCATAGAAATGAAGAGACATTGAATTCAGGGTTTCTTCTAGAAAACTTGCTAAGTCTGGTGGTAGCATCCAGCAGCTTAGCATGTTTTTGAGTTAAACTAAAGTTTAAAGTTGATATTTAAAAATTTCACCAGATATCAGGGACTGTTAATGTCTTTCAAAGAACACAAACACCAACTATAAAGTCTTCAAAAAAAAAGACAAACATTAAAAAGAATTAAACAAAGCCTAGCTTGGTGGGGTCTCAAGTAAAGTCTGGTGGGCTGCCAGACTGATAAAACACTGGGGTAAACCCTGGAATTCATGAATAACCTGATCAAGTGGCAGCATTTGTAAATGGAAAATAGTAGTGGCCCTGGAATGACCCCCTGGGGAACACCAACAAGCTGACCTGTGGCGTGAACTCTTCCAGGCATCCAGGCTACGTGAAGAGGCCCACAGCATGGGCAGCATCTGCATGTCCGAGAATTGCACTGAGCTCAAGAATCTGCGCTCGTTGGTCAGAGTCTGTGAAATCCAAGCTACGCTGCGGGAGCAGAGGTGAGACCGCCGCTCTCCCTCGGTCACGACTCGGTCAAAACATCCACACGTCTAACCCTCTCCTCTCTTCATCTCTCTCCCCTCAGGATATTGTTTTTGAGACAGCAAATCAAAGAACTTGAAAAGTTGAAGAATCAAAATTCCTTCATGGTCTGAGAACTTTGGTGTCGAGAGTTTTGTTTTTGGGGGGTTTGAGGGGAAGGGGGAAACCCATTGCACATAGTTGAAATCTGGAAAGAAAGCAGTTGTTCGGTTCCTCTTGAACCCAGTCTTAACACACACATAAACACACACACATACACACTCTCTCAGAGGAGTTTGAGTCGGGTTGGTTTGGACCGTTGGACTGGGAGACCTGAAAGGGAGAACCGAGGAGCTGCTGTTGGAGGAGGAGGGTTGATTTACAAGACGCTGGTTTTGTGAAAAACCCTCGGTGGGGGAGGGTGGAAAAAAAAATGTAGATTTCTTGTAGATGTTATTATCTATGTTGTAAATATGTTTTGTAGATTGAAGCCATGGAAAGCCATGCCTATCAAAGCTTTTTGGACATCCAGACTAATCAACGCCTCGGCGCCTCCGGTCCTTCACGTTAACTCATCTGCAGATCTCCGGCTTCACTCTGTCACTTCACAAGATCTCTGAACCATTGAGTCAGCTGGTGTGTGTGAGCGCGTGCGTGTGCGTGTGTGTGTGTGTGTGTGTGGCCTGCAGGCTGACTTGAAGGTGTTGGAGGCATGGAATCAACCAGAACAATCTCTTCAGCTCATCAAATCTCGGTAAACTCACCCGTTCCCTCCAGCCTCCCTGAGTGGAGGGGTACTGTCATGTGCAGGCGTGGCAGACTAACACCTGCTCCCAATGCTTAGTGATCTGCTAGCAGCTTCTGGTGGCCCTGCATTACCCAGTCTGAAAAAAAAAATCAGTGCCTGGTGGTTGGTGAAGTGAGTGATTATTTAAAAAAAAAAAAATAAATACAAAAAGGAAAAAAAAAATCCATTGTGGGATGTGATGGCGTGCTGCTTTGGACCATTCCCGGTAACCTCCACCACCCCGCCCTGGCTTCCTGACCCACTCGCCCACCTACCTGCCCGCCCGCCTGCCACGCCTCTTTCTCTGACACATCCCACCTTTCTGTGTTGTGTTTTACTTTCTTCTCCTTTGGGTTCCCACTGTTTTTCTGTTCCTCTCTTCCCCCTCCCACACCTCTTTGACTTTTCAAGTTGAGGGTTGTACCTCTTGTTTTTTTCATTCCTTTGTACAGTTGCTAACATAACAGTGGAGTTTTAAGAGAGATGGAATAAAAAAAATAATTAAAAAAAAAAAGGTTTTATTTATAAGAGTTGTAGTGACAAGCGGAAAATCACAATGATGGCCACACATTTTCACCAGCGCCCCGGTCGAGGAGCGGTAGGACGGCCTCAGCAGGTCCAGGGTGGGTGCATGTGGAGCACCTCTTCAGTCAGCGCAGGGCAACAAGAGGTCAAAGCTCAAATGTGAAATGTACGTATTGTAATAAACATGTTAAACTAAAGCTTGTCTGTATGTTTTATTGGTGCCTGGTTGGAAAGCTTTTCTGTGTTGCCATCAGGTCAATGAGAGACACTTGGGAGTTCACTTCTTTGTCATCTGTAAATATGGAGCTGGGTCCTGAACAGCTTCTCTTCTTAAAGGGCCAGTATTGTGTGGCTTCCAGCCACGTATAATTTTATAGCCTCTTACCTGTAGTTGCTATAAAAATGCTGTGTATATAAAATATGACTAAGGAAATTTTACTTATCACATCTCTCTTAGTAACCCTTTAACATTTTCACCAGCATTGCACTGAGAAGTACCTGGTGGTATACTAAGCTCAGCATATCCTCCAGGTGTTTGCTAGTTGCTGCTGGCTAGTCTGAAGGAGCTGTGTGGGGTGAGTCACTAGGAAAGGCTGCTCTGAGGCGGAAACTGCAGCTCCCAGGAGGACCTTCGTCCTGGAAGGCGATGCTCGATCCCATCAAGCCTTCTACAAACCCGAATGTTTGCCAGATTAGAGGGTTTCTCAAGCATGAATTAACGAATCAAGGTAACACTCCTGGTATGTTTTTTATGAGGGAATAACTTTATAAAGTTTATTTTACGTTATGCTGCCCCTTTAATAACATTCGGAATATACGAGCCGTTGTCGCTTTATGCATCGTTTCCGGATGTAAAGTGAAGACATTAAAATGTACCTCTCCAGGGCAGCGCTGTTGCTTCCCACCTGCTTCATAAAGGGGGCAATTCCTCTGGCGACACCTGCTGGTTCTTTACTGAACAACAGTTTTCCTGAACTGTTATATCATTTGACTGAGAAAATCTATTATTTTGATGTTTACAATAGGACATTTGTTGTAACTTGTTGGAACTACAATTTCATTTATTTTTTAGATTTTAAGCTAATGAAAAACTTAAGCAAAAATGACGGATACGTTTTCTTCCGGATGTTACTTGTGAAAAACCTAAATAAAACAAATGGCATGAAACTAAGTATTTTGAACTGTAAGAACAATATGGCTCCCTCTAGTGGTAAAGCGTTTAAACTGCAGCATGACATCAATGTTCATTCCTGCCATCCTCCTAAGGAAGTCTGCATTATATATTTCTCATTATTTTGTGTTTTCCGTCCAAAGCCCCAGCCTTTTTTTAAATAACTGTTAAAAGTGGTGGTGGTGTTGTTTAAAGAAAAACTTTAAAAATAATTTATATTTTACTTTTTCCCCATAGTGGTTGGGTGAGGAAATTTATTATAAAGCGATTACGTTTGGTCTTTTTAAAATCATAATGATTCTGAGCAGCATATTCTCTGCCAGCAGAGGGCAGCATTATTGTTTCCTTTCTTAAAGGCCTTTCCTTTTGTAGGGCCAACTCAACCCTACATTTTCTTTTTATGTGACCCAAGTCATAAATTTGTTTCTTCTCTTACAGTGTGCTAGAAGAGTCTTCAGTCTGGGTTTCAGTGATTTATTTATTTCCACTGAGAACATTCATTTAAAAACAGCCGATAATGGAGTCATAAAAAAGCCTTTAAAAGCCTGGTTTGTCTTTAGGTACAGCTGCCCAAAGGGGCCACAATCTTCTGTTTAAATAATTAAATGCAAGTACAAACAACATGGGAACATCCAGCCATTCTATTGTTCAGGAAGGAGACAGACTCTTTGTCTCCGAGATAAATGTGCTCTGGTGCAAAATGTGAGTATCAGCCCGAAAACAAAGGCTAAGGGTGAGTAAGAGAGTGTCATTATCTAGAGCAAAACGAGACGTGCACCAACATGGGCTGAAAGGCCGTGCAGAGAGGAACCACGACTCTAAGAGTGGGATGAAAAGGCCTGATTGCGTTTTGCAAATTCACATGGAAACAAAGATTAATGATTGGAGACGTGCCCTGTGGTCCAATAGTACAAAATCAAAGTCTTTGGCTAAAATGAGCATCAATAAATTTGGAGGAAAAACAGGAACCATGCTAACTGAAGCACAGTGGTGGCAGCTTTGGGTTGTGGGCCGGTTTGCTGTGGGAAGGACAGGAACAACTGATGTGAAAAAAATATGTAGATATGAAACCACATTAGCCAAGAATGTAAAGTTCGAGCACATAAATGTTGTTCACACTGACATTAACCCTAAGAGCTCTGCCAAGCCAACAAAGTGGCTCAAGGATACAGTCAGCATTTTGTTGTGGCCATCACAAAGACTTCAGTCCCTTTGTCTCATGTGATTAACAAAATACACAAAAAGAGGAGAAACGCAGCAAAACTGGAAAGAGGTTATTTTCGAAACGTGGCTCTCTAAAGACAATTCGCTCCCCAAGAACATTACTTGAGCAAATACAGTGATATTGCTGGATGTTGGGCCTGTGGTCAATTATCAAGGCAAAACTGCAGGTGTGGTCTTGGACAGGAAGTCAAGTCTTAAGCTTTTTCCCGCTCTCTTTGTTGTCGTAAGGCGTTGTGTATTTTGTATTGGTAAAAAGGCTTAGCATAAAATATTTTGACTAAAAAAGCATTTAAGTTCAATTAGAAATGCAAATTTTAGTCTTCTTTGGATGACAGACAGAAAGAACACAGATCTCCTGCCCCAAAAAAGTCAAAGGCAGTCAGTTTTCCGTCTCAGTGTGGCGACTTCAGTACACAGATCTTTTAACCAAATCTGGAACATCAAAGCTGCCAGAGAGTCTCTCTTTCTCTCTCTCTCTCTCTCTCTCTCTCTCTCTCTCTCTCACTGTAAACCCAGTAGAACTGAACATTTCCCTTTGTTACAGTCAGGAGGGCAAAACTAGATCATGCAGGACGGAGACAGTCTGCCTGTCTGGGACTCTTTGGAGACACTGATATGGCTCAGATCAAAGAGAGGACAGGAAGCACAAGAGGAAGACGTTTCAGGGAGGCCTTTCTGCCCCGGCTGGCCTCTCAGTGACTGCTGCATGGAGATGACCTGGGTGGGACTACGGGGCATAACACATATAACTCTTCAAATGGTTTGGTTTTTAGGAAATTCAAAGTGAAATTCTCCAAAAGAGCTGTTTTGTCAATAAAAAACCTGAGTTGTCTGTCACTCCAAGTTACCACAACAGCATTCCAGCCATGAGGCTGAAGAGGGGTGAGGGAGGAGCTGTTGTCATGCAGATCAGTAACAGGTAACACTTCCAAGTAAGTAAGTGTCTCCTAATGTGTGAAAGCAGACACAACCTGCAGGGGACAATGACTACCTATGAAGAAAGCCGCTCACATGAAACCCACCCCACTGGGTGACACTCATCCTCTCAGCAGGAAGAAAACACACCAAGTTAGCATAAGATCAGACGGTGAAATTTGATCAAACAGACCCAGAAATAGTTTGTTTTTTTTTACCCAAACACAAAGTTGAATCAGATGTAAAACTAAAATCCAACCACAAACGTGTTAAATGCGTCATCTGATAATGGAAAGAGCAGGGTACAACTACAACCTTTATTTAACAGAGTAAGTTGGTTTGAGACAATGACTTGTTCCGAAAACACTTAAACATTATACAGCGGAATATGATGCAGCAGAAAAAGGGAGAACATCATAAAACAGAGAAAAAAAATAAAATACAACCATATTCATACTGACTAAATGTACTTTAATGATAGTAACTTTAATGATAAGTCAAGTTTTTAAAAGCAGATTTAAAAGTAAAGTTTTGACTGAGTTGATAATGGTTGATAATGACATTAAGTACTGAGCTTTAGTGTTTTTTTATGTGGGAGTTCTAATTTTTGTGGAAGTTCAGAATGAAATGAGGATTGGACAAATTATGTACAAACTCTTGAGACCATCATAGTGAAGAATTTATTAGAGGATAAAGCACGAGTATAAACTTACCAAGATATGGTTATCCATCTGAAATGACAGAAAATTTCTGAGATTAAATCTAAAAATTTCTGAGTTTTTTTTTTGTTTTTTGGCAGAAATCTACTTGTCTTTTTTTCTATTTACTGGCATGCTGTCGTAGGTTTATCTGGTTGATCTCCAGTGCTTATTTTCAAACAAGTAACCATGATGTGCATCTGTCCAGAGTATCTCCAAGTCCCTGCAGCGTATCCTGAGGAACGGCTGCATCACTCGCTACTTCTGCTGAAAATGATAACCAGGAAGAAGTCCCACCGCTCAGCAGTCTGAGACAGAGGATGTTTGGGTAAACCGAAGTTGCATGAGTTCAAACTGCCTGCAGTGCAAGCCAAAATATAAACAGATGTTTATCCTTTAAAGTCCTGAAGATAATTATTGTTACTGTCACCATGGGCCACGACAGCATCCATCATGGCTTGGGGGGTTATTCCAGTCAGTCCCTGGCTCAGACTTGGTAAAATACGTACATCTAAAATAGAACTTGACTCTTCAGAATCTGTGTTGAAATCTCTGAAAAGTCCCACATCTGCAGTAAGGTTTAATAATTCCATGTTCAATGTTTTAATGTCTTTTGTGATACTGTTGAAACTTCATTAGTTTTTTTAATATGTATTTTTCTTCTATGTCTTTGAAAAGAAAACGTATTTTGTAAAATCCTGCTGTGGATATATATATATTTCATAATCTGGCTGGGTTTTGATTGTCAGTATACATTTGTTCGTGAGGGGGGAAAATGCATTCTAACATATTATGACTGAAAAGGAAAAATCTTGGTACCAGCTGTGGCCACTAGATGGGGGTATTTAGCTAACCTCGCGTAGGGTCGCACTTACGCGACCTTACGCGTAAGTGCTCGATGTTAAAGGAGCATTTCTAGAAATATTTAGATAAAAACGTAAACACTTACAGTCTACTATAAACTGATCATTTAACGCCACATCAAATGTAAACTACCGAATAAATTAATTTTAAGAGTTAAATCATATATATACAGAGCTCGCACATTAATGAAGGCAGGGGTCTCTTTTTGTATACATCTCTCAACAAATCCTAAAAACAGCGTGAGCTGACATTTTGAACCCGTCTCTTTCCACCTTTACTGCCCTTTGCACGGGATGTAACACCAGCCGTGGAGTGGCGCCTCCGTGGAATTGCACATAATTGCGGTAATTGCAGTGTCGTCTTCTACTTTGCCTGAAGCGAGGATCCTCGTCTTGTTTTCTGAGAGCCACAATAAAGGTTGTTCGACGGTGAAGCATATGGCTCCGGATCAGGGCGGAACCACGCTATCACACCTGTAGGCTGAGGCAGAGTCATAATGAGACTGATTTCATTACGAAGTGAATGAAAGTAAAAAAAAAAAAAAAAAGAATAAAGGAAGTCCGTATGGTAAGATACAGATGGCGCGTGAGGCTTGATACAGATCTTTCGCCGGTTTGTTTTGCATTGCCAGTTGGTGGAGGGGCAATTGTGTGTGTGTGTGTGCGTGCGTGCGCGCGCAAGCGCTTGTGTGTGTGCGAGTGGACGGGATGGCGCCATGCGCTTTTTGGATTGCTAATTTCTCTAACCGGCTGTCCACTCCTCCCAGCAGCAGCAGCGGTGTCAGCCTGAAGGAAGGCGGCTCAGCCCGGCGTCAACCTGGCTGCTGCGGCGATGACGCTGCAGGTAGCTGATACCGGACACAATGACCTGACGTCACAGTCTAGCTTCAAGGTTACACCTTTAATCCTGTTCTTCTTCTTCTTCTTTTTTTTATATATGTTTATATGTAAAGGAATACTGATATTTTTGATTCATTTATCAAAAATAATTTTATTAAACTGTGTTTATGCTGAGGAGCTGCAACATAAACAGGTCCGGCCATCCAGACATACTATAATATTACTGATTACATCAGCGCCATAATTATTAAGTCACTTAAATGAGTACGACCCGGTCCTGTGATGACACATGGAACATGCTATTATGGAAATAAAAGGCTATGAATGAAAGGTGGAGGGGATTGTTTGGATCAGGTCAGAATGTAGGGAGACGAGTTAGACCGGAAGTTAGTTGAAGTGATGTAGAAAATAAAAGCTTGATTTGATCGAAGCACAAAATGGACATAGGGCCGCGAAAATTAGGAGCTGAGCAATAAAATTACGACATGCAATATAATGACGATTTGAGAAATCATGAAAATAACACTTTTATTTGTACAATAAAGAAACAATTATGTTCTCAGCTTATAAAAGACATAATTGTGTGGAAACTTTGCAACACTTTAGGACTCGCTAGTTTCATCTTGGAGGAACAGACTAATTACGTTAAATGGTAGATTTAACATAATTAAAAATGTCTAAATACTTTAAACAAGCAAATACAAAAATAAATACATAAATTTAACTATTCAATCCATTAACAAACATTTTACAGTTGTCCTACATAAACTTTTTTTATTGTTTGATAGTTATGCAGGTTGAATAATTTTGTACTGCTCACATTGCTCTAAATTGCTATTCAACTTCAACCTGGGGTTCGTGTGTGCCTTTCAGCCTGTTGGTTCTATTCTGAAATGAAGTTACCGGATGTGCCCTGAACTGCACTCAGATCAATTTTCTGCCCAGGGTGGTCGGACCAATCAGAAGGAAGGAAGGCGGAGCCTGGGCCGCTTGCTGCTTCTTCTCCAGTTAAATCGCCGCCGTCTCCAGTCTGAGTGTGCAGCCCTGCGGACTGACTCATCTGTTTTTCCACCTAATATTTCTCCGTTCAGGAATACAAACGTGATGCTTCACTGCGACCGGCCACTTCGAAAGGAACAAGAGGACCAGTGGTAACAACTTCACATCCCCTTCAGTCGCTTCAAAAGGAGTATATTCACATTTTTCTGTTTTTTTTTCTCTCTCTTTTTCTTTTTAGTCCTGGAGAAGAAAACCGTGTTTTGGGGGAGGTTTTTTTTGTTGTTGTGGCGAACTCCGGTAATGCCGAGCCGCTTCGAAAAACAAGCCCGCTAACATTTCTGTCTCCATGCGGGAACGGAAGCTCTTTTTCCTACCTGGTGGTGTTGTTAGGTCGGTCAGCTGAATGGCTCGTTTTTCACCCTAAGTCCATGTAAGCCTTTTCCCCCCCACCCCCCTTTTTTTTTTTTTTTTTTTTTTTTTCTCGCGGCTCTCTGCTGCTGGATATAACCGCGGTCACTGCGCAGGAATTCGGTGTAAATGGAGCGCCAGTCCAGTTTCATTTCCATCTGGCTCCAACTGGAACTCTGTGCCATGGCGGTTCTTCTGACCAAAGGTACGCTCAGACTTTGTTCTGCTGACGGGGCATGTTTGTTGGCCTCTTCAGGCCAGGATAAACACTGTTTCAAGGGGAGACATGAAACGAGACTCCGGGGTTCCGACTTCCGACTCTGAAGTTAGAATGCGACTTCAGTAAAGGACTATTCCACAACTTTCTTTTCATCTGGTTTACCTGTGGTGGGCTCTGGTTCATGTTGTAAACACTTAAACCGACCTGAACCACGCTACAAAGATGACACTACTTGAGATGAATGAAAAGTTTACTTGTTAGGACAAAGAAAAGAGGCTAAGTTGTAATAGTTTATTTTTTTGTTGTTGTTATTTAGACCAAATTGTATGGATTTCTGGTTGAAAATTGGACCACAAAGTCTGATAAAAACTGGACTGACTTATCTTCCACTTCTTTAAAAGATACCTTTGAGACCTAATCCAGTCCAGTCTAAATTAGAGATATCAGCATGTCAGAGGTCGGGATCAGGTTTTTCAAATACTGGAAAAACAATTTAGTTTTCTTAATTTGTCTATAAACCAAGTGCATCAAAACTAACAAGTGACTATTGATGGTTAATAACACACTAACAGGCTGTTGAGGACTTTTAAAGTTTTAACATAAGTCCCAAAAATCAGAAAAACAGGCTTTGATGCTTGATTTCAAATTGTAGTTTGCTTTGGATTTGAATTGTCTATCAAAAAAAAAAATGCAGTGTTTCTTTCCCTCTTGTTTTTTGTTTTAGTTAGAATTGAGGGAGAGAATTGGTCCTGGTCAGGAAAAGCTTGGATTGGTGCACTGTTCCTATAAAAGCTGGAAAAGGGGAAAAAAAAAACTTTCTCTTTTTTTATGTTGTTTTTTTTTTATACATCAATAGACGTCTGACAAATCACAAACTGTGTGGTCAGCGCAGAATAAGGCGTTCCACGTTTTTACTGATCTTAATTTAGATTTTGATCTGGAGAGTCAAATGTTTTCCAAAGGAATAAAAAAAAAAAAAAAAAAAAAAAAACAAGAGAAACCGAATTCATTAAAGTTCCAAATCAGATCCTGAGATCCATCTGGTGCCTCTGGAAGTCATAGCAAGCAAACATTCAAACAAAAACCTTTAAAAAGAAAAAAAGTGACTAAAATCTCCTAAAGAAGCTGAAAAACACTGAAATTATTTTAATGACTTTAAATCGTCAGATAAATTAACTTTACCCTACGAGGGTTAAACAACCCAAACTGTAACATCTCATCTGCC